TAGATAGATAGATAGATAGATAGATAGATAGACAGATAGATAGATAGATAGATAGATAGATAGACATTACATTTACAATTTACCTTATTCGCACGTTCGCACTTTAGCGCACAGGTCTGTCTATTGAGCTGAGGTTTGTTTCGAAGAGAACTGTGATAAGTTTCGGTTTCCTTTTCGATGAAGCCCTGAATGCGGGTCCTCAGTATGTAAAGACTCTCCGTTGTTTTCAGCCAGTTTTTGTAGTTTTCATCACTGAAGCGACTGTAAGATTGTGTGCTGCTCATGATCGCTAATTAAAATCGCAGAGATCGATCACTCTTTTGTTGCAGTAGAGCTGCGCTGCGATGTGCCTCGACTGTCTTCAGCAGGTCAGCTGACTCCTGGAGTTGCCAGATACTCGAAAAGTCAACATCATGCATTATTAAGGAAAGGGAAATAATAACGAATTTGTTGATATTCTTCAGTACCATGGCAACCGTGGTTAATAAAGTGATATGGAATAGCCTTAATGTTAGTATTGTAAATATCGCATTAAAACGATCTTGTAAACATTTTTGGTAACACTTTACTTGAAGGGGTGTGCATAAGACTGACATGACACCTTCATAATCATGAAGGAGGTTTTATGCATGTTTATGACAACTGTCATTAAGTGTCATTCGCTCAGTTATGTCATTTTTAATGCAAATATGACATTATTTGACCTAACCCTAACCTAACCCTACCCCTACCCTTACCCCTAGCCATAGCCCATAACAAAGACATCTCAAACAATGTCATCTTTGCATTCAAAATTACATAACTGAGCGAATGACACTTAATGACAGTTGTCATAAACATGCATAAAAAACTTTCATATTCATGACATGTGTCATGTCATGATTATGAAGGTGTCATGTCAGTCTTATGCACACCCCTTCAAGTAAAGTGTTACCCCATTTTTGTTTTCATTATTTATGTTTGCTGCGTTAAAATTAGTACATTGTCCCAGACCCAGAATTGTTCTAAAATTAAAACATATTTAATATAAATATTCATTATTACGTTTGTAGCCCTAATTATTATCCAAAGAGAGTTACAATTTATTTATTTATTAATTCATTCATTCATTCATTCAAAGGTTAGTGTAGAGGCCTACTTGTTTACAATAGTGTCAGTGAAAAGACAGCAAATGAAATATAAGGCATGATAGTTGAATAAACAAGGAAACAATCAAGGTAAATATTACTTGCAAGTGAACAGATGTGAATAGACTTGTATGCAACTCTTATAATTGAAGTTATATATAATTTAAGAAAAGAGCAAGAGTTCATAAAGAGAGAAACATAAAAGAGCTGTTAGTTAATAGCGCCATCTAGTGGAGATCGGAATGAGCTTTTATTGACAGAAATTTGTCTTGATAAAAGACGGAAGTTTGCAGTGCAGTAGCAGAGTTTAACAGGAGGCCAGGTGTCCCCTGGCAGGGCTCCGCTTTCAAACACGATCCTCCATCTGTCTCTTTTTTGCCTCTCCTTTCTTCATTTGTTCATCGGTAGGGAAGAACAAGGTGAACTCTGTCCCTGATGCTTTTACATAAGACTGGACGATTATTAATCAGGCATTATAAATAAAAGTATATCTGTGAAAAGCTTATTTAATAACAATAATTTTAAGTTGTCTGATGCTCCATATACAAGTGAGGTTTTAATTTCTGGGCTACAAAAGTTTTTGGTTCTATGGGTTAAAGTGATAGCTCTTTAACTTGCCTTCTTAGTAATTACACTGAAATTACTGGGTTGTTGCAAAGTGAAGTTTTTTGCTCTGTAATAACAGTGTAGAATGTGCTGAATCCCCATGGAAAACTGAGGTCATCATTATCTCATGAGAAAAGACTGTCTAAACATGCAGCAGCCACACAGATATGCCAGTTGTGTGATCACTGTTATCCTCCAAATAGAATATAACTGGTGGTTTCGATTAGTGGCAAAAATGTACAAATTATAGTTTATAGTCTGGACTGAGGAAAGCCAGACTTTCACCTTATAAAACATCTCAGGTTGGCTCAACTTCCAGGATCTGGTGATGGGGTTTATTTATTTATGCAAATGGTCAAGAATTCAAAAGAATATAACATCCCATTATAGTACAGATAAATACTAGTACAGATTCCGTACTTGTTAAATTATTACATTTTGTTACATATTATAGATCAAAATTACATGCTGCCAGATGTAAGGGGTTTGCCAATTATTTTTGGAATACATTTTTTAAATAATGTATTATTGCACACACAACACACACTTATGTATAGATGTGTGTGTGTGTGTGTGTGTGTGTGTGTGTGTGTGTGTGCGTGTGTGTGTAGTATATCAAAGCATATCAAATATATCAGTATATCAATTAGGCCTATATATTATAATCAGTATTGATATGATGAGATTGTAGTGTGTGCATAAATTCTGCAGACTATAAAAAAGTTTTAATATTTTTAATATTATTACATAAAGTCTAAAAACCAGTTTTAGTATTCTTATATTTTGATAAATTCTTTATTGTTATTTTATATTCTAATGTAAAAAATAAAATATAATATATATATATATATATATATATATATATATATTATCGTCTATTTTTCCTAATAATTAATTTAAAAATTAATTTAAGGTAAAATCAATGTCGCTTAAAATGCATCTTTTTAAAACCAATAAATAAAATAAATAAAATTACAAAATTATAAGTGGTATCCTTCCACTGGAAAATATAGTCCCTATATGTAACAAAACTAATTATCCGCAGTGATATAATAAACAGGTGTTTCTCGTCGTACCTAATACTATATTATGGATTTTAGGCTGTTTATTTACCATTCAGAAGCCTGAATAGAAATGATCCGCTTTATAAAACAGCAGCATAGTTATCCTTTCTTTAAAACAGAGCATTATATCCGTCAAATACTGTAATCTCCTTCTATCAATGACGGCACTGGCTCCACCCCCTGCCTCAGAGGCCCCGCCCATCCCGTGCGCATCCCGTCCGCATTCTGCAAGAGGCACGGGAAAACAGGGATAGACCATCCCGAGAAACTGGGGGGGGGGGAGGTTATTACATACCACTGTTTTAATTCATATTCACCCACGTTTAGATATTAAAACTGGATTTATGTAATTTCAGTTGTACGTTTTTGTAAATAAATAACAACAAAAGAGTACTTTGTACAAAAAAGCTAACACCTGGCACCGACCAAATTTCGTTCCACCCTTTCCCAAACTGCGCCTTGAACTCTACCGTACTGCTGCCATGTTGGATTGAAAGATCGTTATTGCTTTAGGAGTTCGGAATGAAAGTTTATATTATGCAGTCTGTCAAAAGTGAACGAATTAAAGAATAAATAAGCCACAGGAGTAAACGAGTCGCATCTGCATCGCCCGCGCATTGAGGACGACACTACATCGGCTCTACTTGCATGCGGAATTCCTTACGGGATGAACGGAGCGCAGGCCATGTTGATCTGTGATTGCACATAAAATAATCTAACACGAGACAAACGCTCAAGTTCATCTGCCTCATCCGTCAACATGAGCGGCCACCCGCCCCAGCGGAGGGTGGCAAACGTGGGCTCTCTGCTTCTGACCCCGCAGGAGAACGAGTGTCTGTTCAACTACCTGGGCAGGAAATGCATCGTAAGTTGTGTTTACTCTCACGGCCGATCTGTAGTCCGTTAACCGCAAGTTCAAATGCAAACCATATTGCTTTTCAAATATCCAGTGATGTGACGCAATCGAACGGCGGTAACTTCTTGTGTTTTAACGCGTTTGTGATGTCCATCAACATCCTCCTCACTGTCAAGGGAATGAGGCCCCTGTGATTGAAATTAGATGATGTAGTAACTGTTATAAGGTATTTGTATGATTGTGAGTTGGGAATTATGTATTCCGTGTGATTTCAGAGTAAATGGCAATAGGCCTTCTGCTTGAGTGCAGGCTGGTTCGACAAAACCTAGTGAGCTACCTACGAAGACAGCATCATAAGTGCATTCTGAGTCAGCTAAATGATGCACGTGCCGATGATGCCCAGATATGCTGTCTATGTAGGCAGCTCACTAGCTAATGTAGGTTACTGTCTCAGATGACCCTCAAACTCCACCAGATGTGTCAGTGAACTATCTATCTATCTATCTATCTATCTATCTATCTATCTATCTATCTATCTACCTACCTACCTACCTACGTCTCGGTCTATCCTTCTAGCTGTCTATATGTGATTATATCTAGCCTATCTATATGTGAAGCTATCGCTATGTCTATTTACATGTCTTTCTGTCTGTTATTCTGTCTGGGAATCTCTCTACCTCTCTCTATCTATTTCTATCTGTGTCTTATCTAGGCCTATATGTATTTCTATCTGCTGTTATATCTGTATGTAACTGGATTTAGTTAGTACAAATTACAGCAAGGCTTTTGTTTCTGTGTTCAGTGTCAAGTAGCTAGTTATCCATTTCTGCTCAAAGTTACAATACATTTATTTATATTTAATAACCTGCAACAATTTCTGGAAAACATCAAATTTGCATTGAAAGGAAACTTTCAGTTTGTTGTCCCTGCTAAATGAAAGCCTTCCTAGGTGTATATGATTTTCTTCTTTCAGATGAATACTTTCGTAGTTAGCTATATTAAAAAATGTCTTGGCTCTTCCAAGCTTTATAATGGCAGTAAATGGTGGTTGAGATTTTGAAACCCAAAAAAGTGTATCCATCCATTATTAAAAAGTGCTCCACACGGCTCCAGGGGGTTAATAAAGGCCTTCTGAAGTGATCGATGCCTTTGTGTAAGAAAAATATCCTTATTTAAAACTTTATAAACAGTAATCTCTAGCTTCCACTAACTGTCGTACACGCATTCACGAGAGAGTGGCGTTCCAGCGGATGAAGTAGGACGTATGTGTAGCGTAAGCTCCGGTGAAAACATGCTAATCTCGGGAGAACCAGTCTCTTGGCTTATATTGAAATACTCCATTTTTCTTTACAAATCCTCATTTTGTATTTCTAATTCGTTACCATTTTTATATATTTTTTTTGCTCTCTCCTCTGCACTTCCGTGTTTGTCACCACATTCGCATACGTCATCCTCTGGAACGCCACTCTCTCTTGAACGTTCTGTTTTCAAATGTTAGTGGAACATGTTTAGGGCTGTGCAAAAAATCGAAAGGGCCGTAGTTCACTGACAAGCTAAACAAAATCGCTTTCAAAATCGGCAATGAATCGCCTGCAATTTTGAACGCGATTTTGTGTAGCTTGTCAGTGATCTACGGCTCTGTGTAGTAAATGCCGCTCCATCTGAATGCAGGTGAGGGAGATTTACTACTAATCACGGAACCGGCTTTACTGACGAGATGCGCATGACAATCGCATGCGATTAATTGCACAGCCCTATTAATACCAGTTAGTTTAAAATAATCTGACAAAAGCTTTCAAGTTTTAAAACTGATTTCCAAATAGTTAAATATCCAAAGTGTCCAAATACCTTGTGGGGCCACTGTATGTTTCAAGTGAAAGAAATGTACCCTGTTTGTTCTTGTTAGAAATGTCCTGTCCCTTGCCCTACAAGGAAGCGTTTGTTAGAAAAGTGTCCTTATTTTTCCAAAATTCCTCTTGCAGCACATTCAGGTGACGAGTCACATGTTAAGCACGTCGTGTATTTGGTTCTTAGTAGATTTTTGATGCATGAAGATGTTTTTTTGATAGTAATATATATGGATTGTTAAAAAAATTTGATTTTCAGAAAAAAATCAGACATGAATTTGAGTTCAAATCAGAGATTTTTGACCGTAGAAATGGATAAGGAAGGAATAAGCTTGGTCAAGAAACAACTAGTGTTTCATTTATATATTTCGCATGAAATCCGATTCACAAATATGGCATTCTTTCCCATCAGACCTACTTAAGTTGCTTGTCCATGTCTAGGTGGAAGCGACATGAACGCGAGCGGTGTCAGTCCAGGAACGGCAGCCAAGAGCCCGGCCATAAAGTGGGCTTTCACAGGGAATGACTAAATATGAGACGCGTCGTTTGGGGCCAAGATCCAGCAGTCATGGGTTCATTCATCACTGTGTCCCGAACTGGCACCAAAAAACCGAGGGCAGAGGGTGGACGGAATCCAAATCGCACAATAGTGAGAGAGATGGAGAGAAGGGAAAATATAGGTGTTGGGGGTGGGGTTGTGCGTGATCAGCAGTCTTTGAGGACAGGAAGTCAACTGATCTGCCTCCTCTCCATGGAGATTTGAGCTTTAATGAATCGAACTGCTGAGCCAGTACTGATCCAGAATCAGGTTTCCAAGAAAACCAAACCAAAGTCTGACACAAAGTCATGATCCCTGTGAAATGTACATCTTTAATGCGTATTTAAGTTCTTGGCGAAGACTTTTGCAGACAGGAATGCCGTACGGATGCAGAAAAACCTGGCGAATATCCATCAGTCGCCTCTTTTGGATGTTGGGTTCAGTGTTTGTTGAGTGCGATTAAACCCAGCCGATCGATCAAAAGTATAGGTTTACATATCAGTGTGAGCGTGTTTGGCCGCTTTGAATGCAATGAGTATATATTGTTTATATCATATGGAAACTCGACTCTTTCTTGAACTTGCTGAACTCTGAATACAGTAGTTGAAGGTTTAGCGATGTCCTTGAATCACTCGGCCCACCAAGACAGAATGAGTGCTCATACTCAAATGCTGAATGTGCAGTCTAGAGCATGAGGAAGCAGTTTTTCATCAGAAGAAATGAAGGGAAGTCTTGTTTCATTGATGCTACTGTTACTGACGTGGCAGGATCGCAATGAGCGGAGTAGTTAACCAGAATTCTCTTTTTCTGCCTTTCTCTGAATGAAAGTAATTGTACATTTATATTTATTTATTCATTTTTTTTTAATAAAATATTTGCACATGCCATTGTTAGATGTAGATGTTTTTTGGATTAATTTTCAGATTAATTAATTTATAGAATAAATTATTGATTATCAAGAGCCTTCAAAGTTCACAACATTCAATGCTTGAATAGACTTCACTGATGAATGTCTATTATTTCTTTAGATAAGCGGTGTATTTTAATTGGATTATGGAGAAATAATCAGTAAATCAATTGATTCAAAGTCAAAGTTTATGAAATGTTTGATAAATTTAGACTTTTTATTAGGGCTGCACGATTATGACAAAAATCATAATTGTTGATTATTCCCTTGAAATTGTAATTGCGATTATTAATTACGATTATCACAATTTACATGGAATTATGTTTAAACCATTGTTTGATGCAACTGCATGCCGTATTTTTTTTTTTTTTATGAAAATAAACAAGCTGAAAACACTTTAACTGAAAAACATTTAGTGCTTTTCTATAGTATTAAGCCTCAAATGTCAACTATGCATCGGATTGGTTTCTTCTTTAAATTATAAAAAAGTAAAAATATGAATGGTATTATAATGTTATACTAAAATTAAAATAATGGGAAAAACCCATAAGATAACATGTAGAAAGAAAAAAACGCATCTTAAGCACGCAGAATAACATAAGTGGACTTTGAACGATTAATTGACGCTTTGAACGATTACGTAATTGTGGCATCCATAATTGTAATCGCGATTAGAAGTTCGATTAATTGTGCAGCCCTACTTTTTATAATTTGTTAATCATTGAAGTATTTTTTAATCAGATTACTTTTGATAATCAATTCAATTGTTTAATCATTCAATCCATTAATTGCTTTTAAGAGCCTAATTTCTTCAATTGATTATCAATTGATTCATTTGATTTTTTTTTAAATCCCAGTCAGTTAATCAAATTACTTTTGAGAAGCTTATGTATTCAATTGGTTATCAATTAATTAATTTGATTATCAATTTCAAGCAATGAATTAGAATGCCTTTGAGAAACATATTTATTCAATTGTTTAATCCAATTACTTTTATGAATGTGTTCATCTGCTTATTTCAGTTAATCAGATTGCATTTGATAATTGTAAAAGTCAATTCAATTGTAAAAGTCAATTCAAAGTTTATAAAATGTTTGATAAAAGTTTGACTTTATAATCTCTTAACCTATGAAGTATTTCTTTTAATCTGATTATTTTTGTCAAATACGTTTTTGAACCATCGGATTAAGTTGAAGTAATTCCTAATTTTGCAATTAATTTTTCTTATATGCACACTGTTAATTGTTTAATAATTAAATAATCTGCTCGTTTCAGTTGATCATTGGTTAATCTGTTTATTATTTTTCTGTTAATCAGTTGATTAGAGAGTCTGATCTAATTCTGATTCTGAAAACTGTTTAATTTGTAGATTTATTTCTTCAATTATTCAGTGTTGTTGCAGTCCTGCTGACAGGTGGTTTCTTAAGTTATTGCTTAATGAAAACGTTATAGGTCCGTATTGGTCAGAGACTTCATTAAATCATTTTCTGTTCAATGGCTTGTGGTTGTGTTGAATGCTTTCATCAGAAATCTAAATTGTGTGTTAAACCACAGGACAGGGTTTCTTTAGTCTCCTGTAATTGCTCAGCATTAGCCTGTATGTGTGTGTGAATGTGTGTGTTACTTGTCCATGGAAAATATTTCATCTTCTGTGAGATCTTGGCTGTCCTCCCTATGACAGTATTGCCAAGACACTGGCCTATTTTTCCTTTCGGTAACCCGTGTCCTGAAAAAGTGTTCGAAATGCTGCTTTCGGTCATGTGCATGGAACCCAGACACTCTTCGAGTAAGATTCCTTATGGAGAGTGAATAAAATGCCCCATCATGCGTGTCTCCAAGTACTTGGCTGCAGTTTAAATTACAGCAGTATTTGATATCTGCAGTGGCCGGTGTGTGCTGCAAGCAACATCATGCAGTATTCATACACTGATTTCTGTGCATTTTTGGACATGTTTACAGTTTCTGCATGATATTATTAATATGCAGTTCTGTCCAAAATGCAGCCCTGCTACTGAAATGCAGGTGATGAGAATCATTTCATAAGAGTATGAACATGTGCCAGTGTTGGTGCATTGCCTTTTTATTTTGGACTTAAGATGTTGTTTTATATTTAGTTATTTTTAAACTTTAGGATTGAAAATTTTGGTTTTGGTTGAGATTTTCCATCATATTTCACAATTATTAATTCTTTACAGTGTTTCTTTATTATAAGTGTGTGTTTGTATTTTACTTATACTAAAGTCTGGACTTTCTGTAGGATTTCACATTTGTTTGAATGCTTTGATAGATCAAATTAATCCAAGGAATAATTCATTAAAAAATGAAAATTTGCTCAAAAAAATTCATCCTTCATCGGCCGATTTTTCACATGACCGGCCCGGATCGGTGACCGGCGGGTCAGTCTCACGTCTTGCCGATTCCGAGCCGATCTTTTTATCGCCAGCGGCGCCGGCAATGACGTCACAGCCACGCGCACACTCACAGTTGCGTGTAAACATGTCGTTTCGCGTGAGAATGGTTCTAATTTTAATTGCATTCATTGTAAATGGCGACTGATAAAGTATTTATGTCGTGCCAGATGAGGCTTGCACAGCCTGAGTGAATGTGTGAGAGAGACAGCACACACAAAGTAACTCACAGAAATTTGTAGATTCATACTGCGGTAGAAAAAAAAAGATATTTACAAAATATGCTTTTAGGTAAGCAACATTATACGGCCATGATGTTTCCCCGAATATCAATATCAACACGATTGCAATGTGACACTGATTTTATACAATAGTATTTAAATAAACAATAAGTTAAAATTAAGTGACTTAGATTTTAGACAAAATATTGACTGTTTTTGCTCAATTTCGCTGATGAAAATAGTTCCAATCAAAGCCACAGCAGAACTGTTGTGTGTCTCCGAGCAACACAGCGGTGTTTCGTTACTGAATGAATCCACGTTTTTGAATGAATCGAGTGAGTCAATGATTCAGTGGCCCATTCATAAAGACTCGTTTCTGAATGAATCGGTTGAATGAATGAATGAATGAGTAAATGACTCGCTCATTAAAACCGACATTTGCCGCCACCTACTGGTGGTTTAGTCATATTTAAAAGTATCATTGCATTTTTTTTTCAACATTTTGTATGTTTAAAAAAAATATGTAAAACATTACATCTTATAAAATTTATGCATTTGAAATTTTGCAGTGTAAATGCATTTATGGCACCTCAGCTTCATCAAACTGTCTGTGTAAATGCATCTAATGCCACTTCGGATGCAGCTTCTGTTTCCTCAACAGTGGAAAGATTTTGTTTGAGTTTGTTAATACTAATTTCATTTAAATGGTAACAACTCTACAGTTTCTTATTATTCTAACTGAATTAATTGAAACAAAGTAAGAATTTGATGTGAAAGATGACACATTTAATAAGGTTAGGGGGAAAAATGACCATTTATAAACATAGTGGGAAATTACATCTGTTTTGTTACATACAGCAACTCATTTTAAGTTAACTATTTATTCCTCTTTCCAATCACAGAGCACTTTATTTTGAGAGTTGTTTAAGTGAGAGAAAATCTGTAACTTAGTCCAGATTGGGGGAATTGTAATGTTTAATAATTTATTTTATTATGTAAATAATTTTTGCATTGAAATTTGCATAGATTTTTGGTTGTATATGCTGTTAATTATAGTTCTTAGAAAGAAAATCGGAATCGGCAGAAATCGGTATCGACAGGTCACGCTTCCAAAAAATCGGCCAAGAAAATTGCAATCGGTGCATCTCTACTTTAAATGCAAATGAGCTGCATATTCCCGCCCCATCTCCAGAAGAGGGCATCGCGTATACGTCTCTCTGCATTGCATACCTACTGCAATTTACAGCCGGTAGAAGCAACATAACTGAGAGCGAGAGAACCGGTGTTTAGCAGTACATATGGGAAGCCAAATGCACTGAAAGTGGGACGAAACAGCGCGATGTTACAGAGCTTGCGCCGCGCGATCAATTGACCGAGCCACGCGCTACGAATGGCACAAACTAATCTCACAAGCGCGACGCTGATCAGTTAAAAAATACTTAATGTACAACACAAATACGGTTAAAACGCTAAGCACTATAACGACATGACATTCACAAAGGGGACCGGTGTTTAGCTGTACATATGGGAAGCCAAATGCACTGAAAGTGGGACGAAACAGCGCGATGTTACAGAGCTTGCGCCGCGCGATCAATTGACCGAGCCACGCGCTACGAATGGCACAAACTAATCTCACAAGCGCGACGCTGATCAGTTAAAAAATACTTAATGTACAACACAAATACGGTTAAAACGCTAAGCACTATAACGACATGACATTCACAAAGGGGTCTGGAGTGATACACGTATTTAAATAGATTTTGAGGCGCATTACCTTGAAAAATGAAAGTAATCCACAGCGTCCTCAGCAGCTCAGATGTTGGGAGAAAGTGAAGACTCTTATGTTCAGTCTTACATCCAAACAAAGAGCACCGGGATTGCTTGCGAGATATTGTTGACATTACAACTGCTCGAGCGCGGAGAAAATGGAGGACAGCGTACAACCGCTGAGGGTGGAAACTATAGCAATGCAGGGCTGTCAATCAACCCCTGTGGCCCCGCCCTATGCAATGTGACGTCACACTGCATGAGAATCAAAACGGCAGGCCTAGTGAGACTGACTTGGTTTACAGGGGATTAAAAAATGAGGAGTGGGTGGATTTTTATCATTGTAGGGTGGTTGTGTTCACACACTGCCAACACACATTTATGTCCAAACACCATGTAAAAGTGGATTTTGCATAATAGGTGCCCTTTAATGTATTGTGAAGTGAGAAGTTGCGTGTTTGTAAAAAAACAAAACAAATCTATCATTAAGGCGTTTTAACTTTAAACAATTGCTTCTTGCCAAAACACAATTCTGTAATCCAAAAAATGATTCCTCCAGTGAAAAAGTCCATCCCCTGTTGTCCTCTCACATCAAAATCCACCAACGTATTTGTTTTGGACTGTTTCTGCTTACAAACAGTGCTTGATCTGTGCATATTTCTCTCTTGATTTAAACAAAATGACTTTTCCAATGGATAAAGGAATGTTATGGATAGAGGGGTAGCACTTTATTTTACAGTCCTGTTCCTCATGTACATACCTATACATGTACTTATTATAGTAATTACAATAACTAGGTAATAACTAGCTGCTAACCCTGAACCTACCCCTAAACCTAACCCTACCCCATGTAGTTACCTTATATTACCAGTAAAGTGCAACCGGTAGAGGACTTGTTTTTTAGCTGGAAGCAATGATTTGAAGTTAAAAACATCTTAATGGTTTTGTTTTTTTACAAACATGCAGCTTTTCACTTCACAAAGCATTAATTGATTTACTGGAGTCATTTGGATTACTTCTGGATTATTGTGATGTTTTGATCAGCTGTTTGGACTCTCATTCTGGCGGCACCCATTCACTGCCGAGGATCCATTGGTGAGCAAGTGATATAATGCTAAATTTCTCCAAATCTGTTCTGATGAAGAAACAAACTCATCTACATCTTGCATTGGCTGAGGGAGAGTACATTTTCAGCAAATTGTCATTTTTGGGTGAACTATTCCATTAACGAATGACTGAAAAACATTTTTGAAAAACATTATTTAAAAAAAGTTTTTCTCTTAATTTTAGGTTAATCGATAATGAGTGTATTTAGCTTGTTTCATGAAGTTCATGATTGTTTTCCTTTTTGCAGACATTGTGCTCAGCAGTGGTCCAGGTGTATGGGGCAGACAGGAGCTCGTCCTGGATCAAGAGGTGCTGTGGTGTGGCCTGTCTGGTGAAAGACAACCCTCAGAGGTCTTATTTTATCCGTGTCTTTGATATCAAGGTGAGCTCTCTGAGATCAAATAAACAGCAAAGATATCAGATCTGAGACCTAAATATTAAAAAAAATCTTGTTTCTCATTTTTGCAGGATGGAAAAACAAAGTTTGAGCAGGAGCTCTACAATAATTTCACGATCAATAGTTCGAGAGCCTACTTCATTACCTTCGCCGGAAATGTGAGTTGTTTTTTGTTTTTGTTTTTGTTTTTCTCTTAATATTTCACGTTGTTGACCATTATCAAGAAAGAAAACAGAGAGAACTAGCTAGAGATGTTCTGTGGAAAAGTTTGTTTGGCTAGTCGCTTTCTTGTTGTTCTTGTAAAACTGCTTTTAGCATTAGTGAGGATGTGATCTGGCTTTTTTGGTCATATGGTGTGTTTTGCTCTTTAGTCTTGTCAGATGGGCCTCAACTTTGCCAGTGAAGAGGAAGCCAAACGATTTCGGAGTGCACTCAACGAGCTGCTCAACAGACGACAGAGGAAAACTGGTAAATGTGCTGCGTTTAATTACTTTCCTTTTCTTTGAAGGGATGATAGTTCACCAAAAATTCTAATTATGGCATTATTCATTTACTCACCCATATGTTGTTCCAAATCTAATCCGTATGACTTCCTGTTTTTGGTCTCAATTCAGTCTTATTTTTGGGTGAACTCACTATCAACTAATATGCTCTACATTCAGTAGTAATCAAAAAATATGTCTAAAACCTTATTAGTGTCTAAAACATATTCTCCCAAATCTGTGTTTTTCGTAATAGTTCACCCAGAAATTATAATTATTTACTCATCCTCATTTGCTGTTTAATTAAATTGATTCTGGTTTTGATTCTGATATAGCTATAAATACAGAAACAGTGCATGCATATAGCCTTTCATTTTGATATAGCAGTAAATAAGAGTACAGACTAGACCAATGGTCGACCAATTGATTGGTTATGCTGATTAATCGGCACTGATAGTTGATTACTAGAACTATCAGTTATCAGCAAACATCCATACCGTTAGTAGGGGTCAATTTTTATACCATAGAAATCTCATAATTCTTGTCACCAGTGTCAGTATCACAAAAAAGTAATACTAGCCTAAAAAAAAAAGTCAGAGATCAAATAAGAAACTAATTACAAACAATAGGACAAAAAGCTACAGCAGAATAAATAAATAAATAATAGATACTACATGCATTGTATAAAGTAATCAAATGTATAAAAATATTCTTCACTGTGTAAATTAAATATATATTTCGTCTTATTAAATTTACAAAAGTGATTTAGTCAAGAGCAGATTGTCTCTCTTTT